AACAAAGTGGGACTGGGACAGTGAAACAGATCTGTTTATTGCTGTATTACTTGACAAGGAAAACCTAACAGACATTTTCTTAAACTTGCTTTACACCAGATGTCTTATTCAGGAAGTAGGTTCTGACTGATGTTGGTACCAAAATGTTTGTACACTGTGTCAAATACTGCTGTAGTATTTAACATTTTATGACAGGGTTAGCAGAGCAAACCAGGTGATGGGCAGGCACTTAAAGAACATAGAACTCAACTTAGCAGGTACCACTGGCAGATACATGGGTCTACTTCCCACTGTGAACATCCTCAAGAAAGAGGTGAATAACAACAGTGCACACTTCTGCATATAGCAGCAACATTGAGAGTAGTGGGAAAGACTCTTGCTATTCAAACTGTCTTCTTCAAATCTACTTGGTAGGAGTGAGAAATAATAATAGACTTAACCCAGGAGAGGAGAGCATGAAAAAATCTTGCTGATATTCTGTGTATACTGCTGAATCCGGAGAATTGCTAACAACTTGAGAATTTTGTGCAACTACAGTATAGAGCTTCTAAGCCAAACACCATTCTTGTTCACAGACATTTCTGCAAAAGTGTAAGATTAAACCACTGCTATTAGGAAGATTTTCAAATTAGTAGAATTCATGTCTAATTAGCAACTTTCTATGGTTTCTGATGTTGTTACCTTGTTTCTAGTCTTTATATGGAAAAAAGTTCAATAGCAATTGGGAGCAGCAATGTAGGACATTTCCTCTCACTATTCACACATGATTATTGTTGCAATTGTGGGATTTTCGTACCAATTAGATCTGTAATGTCAAGACAACCTCTAATGAAAGTTTCTGTTTCAAATGTGCAACAATAAGGTCTGAAGAGAAATTTGGGAATTGTAACTGCATAAATAAAACTAATGTCATTTGCAAAGGGTGGAATACACAATCTATGACTAAAAAGGCAAGACCTTTCTTGAAATGTTTGATGTAATCTAAATGTTTGATGCAGAACGCTTGTAGCTAGCACTTCAACTACCTAGCCATAAACGCAGAAAGTAATAACAAGTCTCAGATTTTCTTTTTTATCAACAGATGGGCAGTTCATGAATGAGGATGTTATGTGGCATTGAAAGTACAAAAGTAATGTAATGACTACTGGGAATCATAGAATCATTTACATTGAAAAAGACCCTTACAATCTTTGATTCCAACCATTAATCTAACACTGTCAAGTCCACTGCTAAACCATGTCCCTCAGCACATCTACATGTCTTTTAATACCTCCAGGGATGGTGACTCAACCACTTTTCTGGGGACCCTGTTCCAATGTTTGATAACCCTTTCCATGAAGAAATTTTTCCTAACATCCAACTTAAGCCTCCCCTGGTGCAACTTGAGACCATTTCTTGTTGTCCTATTGCTTGTAAATTGGGAGAAGGGACCAGCCCCCACCTCTCTACAACCTCTTTTCACGTAGTTGTAGAGGGTAATAAGGTCTCCTCTGAGCCTTCTTTTTCTCCAGGCTAAACAACCCCAGTTCCCTCAGCCTCTCCTCATAAGGCTTGTGCTCCAGACCCCTCACCAGCTGTGTTGCCCTTCTTTAGACAATCTCCAGCACCTCAATGTCTTTCTTGTAGTGAGGGGCCCCAAACTGAACAAAGTATTCAAGGTGCAGTTTCGCTAGTGCTGTGTACATAGGTACACTCACTTCTCTTGTCCTGATAACCACACCATTTCTGATACAACACAGGCTGCTATTTGCCTTCTTGGCCACCTGGGCACAGTGCCGGCTCATATCCACTCGATTCGTGACCAACAAGCCCAGGTCTTTTTCCACCAGGCAGGTTTCCAGCCAGTCTTCCCCAAGCCTATAGCATTGCATGGGGTTGTTGTGACACAAACGCAGGATCTGGCCTTTGGCCTTGTTGAATCTTATACAATTGGCCTCTGCCCATCAGTCCATCCTGTCCACATCTTCTGTATTCATATCATTTCATATGAATAGTAACAGATATATAACATATTCATAAAACAGATAATAACATATTCATATAATTGATATGAATAATAACATTATATTTTTTATGTTTTTGCATACATGTATACATTTACAGTGCTGTAAAATTAATGAAGTTAATATTTCAATGGTAAATAATGATATTTCCTTATACAGTGTGACAGTTTCTGTGTGGTAGAGGTGAATGAAGGGGTTTTTTGGATAATACTGCTTAAAGCAGTTATAACTCTTTCACCAGTCACTCGGTCTTTGTGAGCCCTGTAATGGTGTTGTAAAACCTGAATAGGTTGTCTTCCTGTTAAAGAGTACAAGATAAATGCATGCATTAAAAAATGAAGGGCTCCACAGTTACGCTGAGGGGCTTTTTTCCCCTTTCCTAAAATTTTATTTTCAGGTGCAATGCAGGTGGCTCATACCATGTTTGAGTTTTTAAGGTGTTATCCTCATATGAATTCAGGTCTTTGGCTACCTAAAATGTCATTTGTCCTCCTGCAAGCTGTAATTACTTTTGCAATAGCTGGGCTGTCTTTGTTGATTCTCAGTCCCATGTAAATGTTGAGGAAGAGTAATCCAAGTTCTGAAATTTTGTTTCTTCTTTGTTTCCACTGGTGTCTACATGCTAAGTACAAAAACCATTTATGCACAGCAATATAATGGCACACGTGAATAGTGAAGGTAAGATCAATGAATGGCTCTTCTGGTTAATGTCATTCATCTACATTTATCAAGTCACAAGTTTCTTAACCTTCCTCCTTCACAGAGGTTTCCTTCAGTACACCTGGATGACTCTGGGTCACACACAGTACGGGGCTTAGTGTGAATACTAATCAGCAAGTGGAAAGACTATTCTTAATGTACTAATTTATATCCAGTATAGTGTACTTATACAAATATCTTAATAATATCAAATATTGTTTATGAATTTGTAACACAGAACAGTCACTTTTTTTGAATTTACAGTTCTGTGCAATTTATTGGTGTAAAATCACTAGCTTATCTGTGCATGTGTTTGTGAGGTTGTCTCTGGAGAAAAATACAGCCTTTGTGATAGCCTATCCTGTAGCTACAGTCATATCACATCACGGAGTAAGAATCTAACTACTGCACCAAGTACAGGGCGTTAACAGATCCACTGCTGACCATCAGCTGTCCTGGAAAAACATTCTTAATAATATTTTTTTTTCTTAAGATTAATTTCTTCCTATTGGATAAGAACTCCAGTAATTTTTTCCAAAAAAAAAAATTAGTATGCTAAGATCTTTTGTCATGTCCTACATACTGCTGATGAAGAGAATTCATTAGCTCATTTTCAATCACAATTCAGAAATACAGTATGGGAAGATAACAAGGTATTTTTATAGGTTTATGGTAACTGTTAGCCATTTTTGAGGATGATTGTATGGAAGAGCTCTATTTCTTTAAGATATTGGAAAGAGACAGTAGCTTTGCAAGTATTCAAGAGAAGAGAGATGTATTTTAGCCAGGGTGTGGTTTAGTAAAAGTGTTCCCAAGAAACAGGGGTTAACAGGAGGAAAACCATCCCAGAAAAGACAAAACTGAGCTTCGTCCTTGCTCTCTGCTGTCTGCTCTTTGTAAAGATTATGTTCTACATTGCAGAGAAAAGTAAGCAACGGTTTCACATCTTAAGCTTTTACAGGGAAACTGAAGACTTTCTCATTTTTCCATGCTGTATATGGGCCATGGATTGAATTTTGACTCAGAAACTGTACTTCCAGTGCACACGCAAGTTTGTGCTAAATGTGCATTCAAGCTTTAGGTAGCTCATATTTTGCTAACTAAGGAGGTGTCTTGTTCCTTAAATGCCCTCTCTAGCTCAGGATGCAGCACAGAAACATAACAATCACATAGCTTTCCTAAGACTTTTCTTTGTGAAGGAAGCTTGTATTTGAAATAGTCTCGTAGAGCTTAGTGCCCTTGCCCTTTGCACTTTCCCTTCCACTTGGTAACACATATTGGTACGTATTTTGAAGTTCCACGGTGGAGGTCCTTGATGCCCTTGGAAGAAGGGCTGTCAACAGACTCTAAAAACTGAACGCTTACCATGCTGCTATGCTAGGATGCTGGGTGACACCTGACCTCTGCAGGGATGAGCACAAAGCCGTTTTATGTCATTACTCAGCCCAGCTATGTGTTGCAAGCTTGGAGGAGCTATGATGCTACTGAGTTATGAAGGCAGCATCTCCCCACACCTTCTCTGGGGATTCACAGAGACACCCTTTACTTAGACTACTTTTCTGTCGCAGGAGTTCAAACATCTTCAGTGGACCCCACTTCTAGTCTAGAAGGAAAAGCCCTGAGAATTTCTATGAGTTGCTTTTAAAATAAACAGCTGAAGGAGATCTTGCCTTTGGATTTTTCACCAAAAAAATCACCATTAAAGGTGGAAAAAATGATGTACTTTCTTAATTTATATTTGCCCATAAAACTTGAAAATCCTATTTTCCATTGCTGTCAGAAATGATGAAACAGAATGATCTGTTTCAGATGAGTGAAATTTTGAGGGCTATCTCAGATGAAAGCTATTCTTATACCATTTTTTTTGTATTTGATATCTACTGTATTTTTGTGAGTAAATATTAGACCTAAAGGATTAATTTGTCAGCTAATATAAATCAGCACAGCTCCATTGATTTGCATAAGGCTAGGCCGGTTTATGCCCACTGAGGATTAGCCTTATCCAAGGCTTTGTGAGCTTTTTAAAGTTAAGGGAACAGACTTGTTCTGTCTTTAGGTGTTGAAATAAAGGGAGAATTACAAGCATAAGTTCATGCAAACTGCAGCTTTAAATGATAAACTAGAGACTATTTGGAGGGCTTAAAGAATAATTGCGAAAATCTGCTACCTTTGTTGAGAAATTGAGAAAATCAGAGCCTATATACCTATACTTATATATATATATATTCCACAGTTATTCAGTAGGTGGCAGTTAAAAGCCTAGATGAGCTTTGCAGTCGCCATTTAGGCAGTAGCACCAGCAGGCGCTGGAGTCAGTCCATCCCTAAAAGCAGACAGAAAGGCTGCAATCAAGCCAAGGAAAGCATTATCCACGGCCCGGGCACTGGGGAGAAAGCGGGAGCAGAGCAGAGCTGCCGGAGCACCGAGCCTGCGAGCCCACGGCAGGCAGCAGCCACTGCAGGGAAAGCAGCAGGCGACAGAGCTGCAACCCCTCTGATTAAGACAGGGACTTCTTTCGGGTGGAGGAAACCCAGGGCAGAGAGCGTGAACAGCTGGTGCAATGACAGGCAGAAACTGAAGAGCATTTGGAGCTTTCTGTTCTAACAGGTAAATAGTTTTCCGTTTGTCTTTCTACATCACCTCATACCATAAAAGTAGCTTGGCAGAGAGATTAGAAATCTTCATTTCCTTTGGCCGAAATCTGCAGTCCTCACTGAGGCAAAATTTCCTCCGAAGTCAATAGAGTTTTGCGTGAGTTATGACCTCAAGATTTGATCTAAGTATATATCTCATGTAGAGAACATGCCATGCTATAAGCTGAGCCTGAAAAGGAAGCTAGAAGCAGGTCATGTGCACACAGACCAGTTAAACGATATAATTTTTCTCTGTGCTGGGGTGCTAATAATGGCTTCATAACCTTTCTTAAAAACTGTCATTCATTAGAACTCGATGCGCTGAAGTGCCCTAGTTTATACTACTGCCACTGCAGTGGCTTAAGGAGAGATTCAATTTTTTTAAATGAAAGCTACATTTTAACTTATATGATGGAAGAATACAAAAATATTGAGTCTTAATTAACACCAGGTGTTGTTTTCTTTGAAATAAATACAACTTTGCTCCATTCCATTGAAAGGCAGGCAATCTTTTATTTGTTCAGTAGACTGTGCCCCTCTCGACTGAATGAAAGAATAAAAATCACAAAAGGCCATTTTCAAGTGTCTGTGAGTGACTGAATGCATATTTGATAATACTTCCTCTCTTACCATCTTCTCTGTGAAATGTGGGATGCTCTGTATGCTGCAGCACTCAGTCACATCTGTGGGAGTCCAGAATGGAGCAACAAAATTCGATCTATTTTATTGTAGAAGTATTTCCTGAATGTCTTGTTTTCATCGGTGCCTAGTCATGCATGAATACATATATGCCTGTGTGCAATGCACACACATGTAGGTATGTAACGTGTGAGCTGCGCTTACTAAATACAGTGATGCCCAGTTCTCCCAGAATGGCATCTGTGCTGTCATTCAGGGGCTATGCAATGTGGTATCCCTGCAGGGTTCATGCTCCCTCTCACACTGCACACCACGCATCTGAGGCTCTTGCATGAACAACTGTTCAAATACACAGTTGCAAATCAATGGCCCAATGGAACTGAGGGAATGAATGCCTACATGTACAGCTATTTGTCTTCATCCCTGGGAAGAGAGAGGAATTAATAGGTATAAATGGGCTGTGAATACACTTAGGCTGGAAAGTTTCAAACAATTAAAGCAGCACGCTTCTGAAATTGTCTTCTTGTTGAAGTAATAGAAAGAAAAGGCTCTAAATGCTTTTCAATTGGAACATGATGGAAGGGATTATGTGAAATGGTTGTCTGCAATGGCAAAGAATTGGATTTGATAATTCAGAAGTCTCTTGCAGGGCTAAATACCATTTGTACTTTTCACTGGAAGTTGCCTGCTTTGAAAAGTCTCTTCACAAATGGGTCAAGGTTTTTGGAAATACAGATTTCCATGTCTCACATAGGAGCCAAATGAAAGCATATTTCTCTTCTAGGTTTTGCTGCACTGTGATTTACACTAGCAGACACATAAACCCTGGTGGTCTTGAGGCTGAATAATATCCCCTTCTCACACTGCAGAGCAGAGCTTTTTGGAAGGAAATTGGAGTTCAAAGGCAAGGATCCTTCTTGGACCAAGTGGTCAAGATTATGTTACTCCAGCACTGCAGTCTTTGTAGTATCAACAAAAATCGTGGATAATATATAAAATGATAATGCTGTTACTGAAGTTGCTACTAGTACTGGTTCTAGTTTCCTTTGATGATCACCTGATAACTTTCTTTTGTGCTAATCAACACACCTGCTTATATAGAGATCCCACCATCATGTGTGAAAAAGCAGACTCCTGTTTTCATCGTGACAGTATGCACTAGTGCCTCAAAATTAGCTTATTTAAAAAACCTGCAATAAACAGTGTTCTGGTTCAGAGGTGCTCTTACAGAATGACATCATTCAATTCCACATTGTCTTTTCCTCTACTTCTTTCTCTTTATAACCTGATCCTCCTCTTCCTTTTTTATGGTTTTGATTTACATACCACATTGGATTGCTTTCAGTTCGCAGTGTACCTCTGTAACTATTCTGTAATACATAATAAGCGGCATTTGAATGTTCCACGTCCCACACTGCACATGAGTATCAGACACTTAAATTGAAACAGATTTAGTTTTGTATGTAGAGCTGATTCCAAATGTTTGTTACTTTTGCCTTAGTATTTTGTATTACTATGCCTAATTAAGCAATTATTAGTATTAGATACAAGAAGAAAAATGACAATTGTGTGAAACATGAACACATATTATTAGCAATACTGCTTTCCCTTTTAAATGAAAAATTTCCCTAAATGCACCAGGAAAAAAAAATCTGGGAATTTTTTTTCCATTTATTATTTTTTACTTTCCACCCAAACAAAAGTTTTTAAGTATCAACAAACAGGTAATTTCACTGCATTCTTGTTGTTGCATTAAAATGTACATTGAACTATCTTATCTTAGCGCTAGAAAGGCAGTGGAAAAGACCCACTGAGTGACACGGTAAGTGTAGGTGTGAATTAAAACAAAACATACTTTATTTTACCTTTTTGAGAAAACAAATTCTGATTTATTTGCAACCACAAAATACTGATTACTGTATAATTCTTGAAATGAGTATCAGAGGAGAAAAGAGCTAAATGTCAAAAAGGGTATGTCAAGTCTGTAACAATCACACTTTCCACTCACACTGAGATCAGGAACACCTACTCTCAAGCAAATAAACTTGAGTTGAAAATTAGATTTCTGTGTCTGAGATAAAAATCAGCCTCTGATTTCTCTGGCTGTACAGGACTGCAGTGTGCTATGGCAGGAAAAAGCAATCACTTTCAGCCTGACTGCAGGTAATGGAATTGGTTTTATTTGAATCTGAGTGTCAATGAAATTTTGACGGCCTTTTAGTATCCTCATTTAAAGTATGTATGTAGTAATGCAGTCATATGAAAAGAACAAATTCATTCCTGGACTGCAGATGTTTCCTTCCCAAGATGTCCAGCAGTTCTGACTTAAAATTAATGTGAAGCTAAGAAGAGGAGACTTACCTGCTTTTAGTTGTTTGTTTTTGGTTTTTTTTTTTAATATTATTATTTATATTATTCCCTGAAAATTTAGGCTGATAGATTTTATGTCTTCTGAAAAAGTTAGCAATTGAAATAACCAAATATCAGCTACCACCAATAGCCAAAATATTGCTGTATAGCCAACTAAAACCCATTTATTTTCCCAATTTGTTCACTCAAACATTAAAATGCTACCATGTGTAAAGTATTTTTTAATCTTTAGAGTATAGTTTTTATAATTTTGTCTACTGCTACAAGGAAAAGAAACATGAATTGAGAATAAAGTACTCTAAAGGCTAACCCTACCTATCTTACTTCAGAACAGAAAGTACTGAAAGCTGGAACAGTGATGAAGATTAGTACAAAATTCCATTTCTTTTTAAAACTAAAATAAAAAATCAGTAAGGAAAGTATTCGGTTTTGGGAAAGTCCTGCTATGCAGATTTGCAAACTAATTCTTAAAGAAACTACACGTTAGAGCAAAAAGAAGTATAAATGAAGTTTTCCCTCCAACCCATCTTGAGATAAATTGCACAACATAGCTGCTTCTGAACATTTAGAAGCTCCTATCAGAAAGCTGTCAGGAATGATACTATACTCTACAGTAATACTTTAATTGCTGCTTTTCAATACTTTCTGATTTGCAGAAAACTTTTCGTAGAAGTTCAGGCTTTTTACTAGTGCCTGAAAGCATACAGTCAATGGGATTGCGTTACTTCAGTACTTGTCAGGGATCCTTCTTGGTCCTGAAACCTGCTGCATTATCTTTCAGAAGTTATTACCCAACAAACCAGTTACAAAATATATTATATTGGCTTAGGGTTTTTGGAGGACTCACTACACACAGCTAGCAGACCAAGACAGATAGTGATATGCTCGCTTCAAACCACACTGTTTAGAATGGGGTATCTGTGGAAGAGTACCAGAATTGCTCCAGTGGTTAAGACAGGAATCAAGATATCCTTTCCAGCCCAGCAATGAGAAGTAATGATGCGAGTTGAATTCATCAGAATATATTCATCAGAGGCCCTTAACCTTTAATAATTCTGCTTCTACAGAAGATTTGTGCAAATAGTCTCAAATTAATATTAAACAATTGAGAGCTACAGTTGAACGGCAAAAGGGCCATTGGCCATTATACAATTTCCTCTGCTGAATGAAAACCAGTCTTCCATGGATGCATGGTTCTTCTGTGTAAATGCACACATTTATATGGAACTAGCTTGTTGCCTATGCTAGGATTTTTATCATGAATCTCACAATATATGGAATTTAATATCCAAAGCCTTTAGATCCAAATTATTATTTGGGAAATTCTCCTTCTTGGTTTTGTTTTTTTTAGTGTTTCATATGTTTCTAACTTTCTCCATTAAGGAAAACTTAAAAGCTACACCTTTTTTCCATGAGATACAAAATAAAAGGTCAACTAATTTGGCTAGTGGACATCTGGAGAAGCAGAAGCTCACTACAATATGAAATGTCATAGCCAATCACTGAAAGGATTATTGTGCTACTGAAAAACAGAGGGCCAGAAAGGTGATTCTCCACTTAAATGAGTGAAAAATTCCAATTAATAATCCTACTCCTCTACCTGATGTCATAATATCTTACATGTTGAAAGGGGAACATACAACATTGTTAAGTTGATCTTTCCATCTCTATTCAGGTAAATTAAATCCACTGAAAACTGAACAAAAACTACAGTATTTTGTCTGCTAACCTGAGGACAAAACTAAAAAAAAAAATTTCAGTCCCATAAGGATTTATCTCCTACAGTATCTCCTACAGTATTCTCCAGTAACACAATGATGTTACCTTGACATTTTTATTCCTATGTGTGAGTTAACGAATACCAAGCTACACATATGCAAAGTCTTCTGAGTGGTTTCCTACTGAGTTTTTACCCTAAGCAGCTAGAAGATTAAAATACTGATTTACCAAAGGCTTGCATAGATA